CCCACTCTTCAACAGTTAAACTCATTGGAATGAGGGTCTGTGACTGGCTTAGCCTGGGTCATAAGTCTATTTCTGGGAGAAAGGAGTATAGAAAAGTGTGCCATTACGTTGTCAGGAGTGGCACACTTTTGGGTTGCTTTCAAATAAGCTTAACAATCTTTGAAGCAGAGCAAGAAATCTAGAGGATTATAGAGTTAGAAAATGGAACATGCTCAAACATCTTAGCTACTTTATTGTATCAGAGTGTGGTTAACCACTTCATTAAAGGCTACGGTGCCATAATATGGAAGTTGATGTTTTAGGTGTCTTATTTTGTATAGAGTTAATTTTTGTCATTATAAAAGCAAATATAATTAGAGAAGTGCAAATGAAAACATCAGTGAGGTACCATCTCACACTGGTCAGAATGGCCATCATTAAAAAGTCTACAAATAGAAAAATGCTGCCAGAGGGTGTCTAGAAAACACTGGTGGTGGGAATGTTGGTTGGTCCTGCCACTGTGAAATACAGTGTGGCAGTTCCTCAGAAAACTAAAAATAGAATTGCCATATGATCCAGCAAACTCACTCCTGGGCGTATACCCAGACAAAACTATAGTTCAAAAAGATACATGCATCCCTGTGTTCATAGCAGCATCATTCACAATAGCCAAAACATGGAAACATCCTAAATGTTCATTGACAAATGAATGGATAACAATGATGTGGTACCTATATAAAATAGCATACTATTCAGTCATGAAAAAGAATGGAAGGCCATTTGCAGCAACATGGATGCAACTAGAGATCATCATACTGTGAAGTAACTCAGAAAGAGAAAGACAAATATCCTATGATATCACTTATATGTGGAATCTAAAATATGACACGAGTAAGCCTATCTACAAAACAGAAAAAGACTCACAGACAGAACAGACTTGTGGCTGCCGAGGGGGAAAGGATGTAGGGGGAGAGAAAGACGGGGAGTTTGGGATTAGCAGATATAAACCATTATATATAGGATGGATAAACAACATGGTCCTACTCTGTAGCAGGATACTGTATATACAGGGAACTATATTCAATATCCTGTGATAAACCATAATGGAAAAGAATATTTAAAAAAGAATGTATGTATATACCTGAGTCACTTTGCTATAAGCAGAGACTTGCACATTGTAAAACAACTATACCTCAATAAAAAAATTAATAAGAACCTATTACATGAGGAAAAAATAAGCCTTGAGTATAAAAGTAAATATACCCTGTGTTGTTGTTTAGTTGCTAAGTCATGTCCAGCTCCGTTGCGAGCTCATGGACAGTGGCCCACCCGGCTCCTCTGTCTGTGGGATGTCCCAAGAATACTGGAGTGGGTCCTTCTCTAGGGGTCTTCCTGACCCAGGGATCAAACTTGTGTCTCCTGTATTGGTAGGTGGGTTCTTTACCACTGAACCACCAGGGATGTCCCCAAAATATACCTTTGACATCTGGAAAATACTGAGAAATAGGGGAAAAAAAAAAATCACCTAATGTTCTGCTCTCCAGAGACAACTACATTTTGATGAATTTCCTCTGCATATTTTCTTGTAAAGTTATGATCATATTATAATGTTAAGTTTTTTCTTTGTTTTGATTAGTATTTATTTATAACTTTCTATCAGAGTATAGCAGAAACTTAATCTTCTTCTTCAGTATAGATTCCACCAGGGTTGTATGGTGTTCATTTTTTTTAAGATTTAATTTTTAGAGCAGTTTTAGCTTCATAACAAAATTAAGGGGATGGTATGGAAATGTCCCATATACTCCCTGCTCCCCATATGTGTTGCCCCCCACCAGAATGGCATATTTTTTAAAATTAATGAATCTACATTGACACATCATAGTTGCCCAAAGGTCATAGTCTAACATTACCCCTTCACTCTTAGTGAGATTCAAATGTCAAATTCTGTGAAACTGAACAAATGTATAATGATATGTATTCATCATTATGATATTACACAGTATTTTCACTGCCCTAAAAATCCTCTGTACTCCGCTTGTTTATTCCCCGTCGTCTTCTACCAACTACTAATCTTTTTATTCTCTTCATAGTTTTACCTCTTCCAGAATATCATATAGTTGGAATTATACAGTATATAGCCTTTTCAGATTGACTTCTTTCACTTAGTAATATTTTTAATTCCTCCATGTTTTTTTAATGGCTTGTTAGCTCATTTCTTTTTTAGCATTGAATAATATTCTGTTGCCTAGATGTATCACAGTTTATCTGTAGGACATCTTGGTTGCTTCCAAGTTTTGCCCATTATAAATAAAGTTGCTATAAAAATATCCATATGCAGGCTTTTGTAGACATAAATTTTCAACTCCTTTGAGTAAATACTAAACATGATTGCTGGATCATATGGTAAGAGTGTATTAAATTTTTTAAGAAACTGCCAAACTGTGTTCCAAATTGATTGTACCAGTTTGCAATCCTACCAGCAATGAATGTTGTAGGATTGATGTTAATTTTTAAATCTTGTTTTTCATTTGAATTTACAAGTAAGGAGTATGTTCATTTTAAGTTTCTTGACATATAGCACTATCATTAGGTATTTTAAATTTAGTTAAGTTTGTTTAATTGTTCATTTGATAGGCAAAAACTGGCTATCTTATTTCAACTTCTTGTGTCCTTGATTACTGGTGAGTGAGTTTTTGTTTTGGTGGGTTTAGTTAACTATAGTTCCTCTTTTGTGGCTTTCTGGGTTCTTAACCCACTTATGGGGCTTCCCTGGTGGCTCAGATGGTAAATAATCTGCCTGCAGTGCAGGAGACCTGAGTTCAATCCCTGGGCTGGGAAAATCCTCTCGGTAAGGGAACCCACTCCAGTATTCTGGCCTGGAGAATTCCATGGACAGAAGTGGGCTACAGTCTATGGGGTCACAAAGAGTTGGATGTGACTGAGTGACTTTCACTTTCAGCCCACCTATCTGCTGATGTCTTGGGTTTTTTATTGATTTGTAGGAGTTCCTTAAATGAGCTCTGTTTTCTTTAGTTTCCTAGTTTATAGTTTAGTTTTTATTAAAAAATATATAAACCTAAATTTTTTGTGTATTTTAATTCCATCTGGCTTTTGATAGATTGTCTTATTTTTAAGTTTAAATATTCTCTTTTCAGAGGTCCAGTAACTTTTGTTGTTTTTTTTTGTTGATTTTGACTATTTCATCTAGAATAAAGAAATTTTCAAGCTTTTTTGTTAATTTCTGTAGGTGTTTCTTGATTCATTGTGAGGTTTAAGGACGATGAAAGATGACAGAGAAACTTTAGTGACAAAATACATTTTTGCAATGAAAAAAATGATAACTTCTTATCTGACAGATCTAAACTTTCTCATCAGAGTTAATGTTTAGACAACATTTCTGGTTAGCCTTCTCTTGGTACAGCAAAAGCATTTGTATTTGCCGGAAATAACATTCATTTATGAAGAAATTATGGCAGAAATCTGTTTAACCAGTGAGAAAATTCTAGACTGTTCAGACAGCCCAGGATTTTGAAAAAAACTTGCAAGTTGGCAAGAGCACAGGAGAGGAAGTGTCTGCAGCTGCTACATTCTAGAAGCCTTCCCAAAGAGTTACTGTGAGGCAGCCAAGAGAACAGTGCATGTCACTACTGTGTGGTTCTGGAGGGGGAAACTTAAGAGGACTTCCAGCATGTCAGTTTCTGTGCTGATCTATTTTTATTGATTCAAGTTAGGCAGAAAGTGTGTGTGTGTGTGTGTGCGCCCGCACGTGAGAGAGAGAGCGAGATTGGGAGTTTTCTAATGTGGCAAATGGTGTGTGTGTGTGTGTGTGTGTGTGTGTGTGTGTGTGAGATAGGGAATTTTCTAATGTGGACTTGAACCTGTTGCTTTCGGTGAAGTCTCTTGGGGAGAGTCAGGGGTGCCTGCACAAAGAGAAATAGGGTGACAAGTGAGAATAAGCAATGGGTGTCTGTTATTGGGGTAAACAGTATTGCAGGGGTAACTTGTTTTCCTATAAGTTAATAAAGAAGAACTTAAAAGTCTATGTTTATGTGGTAAAGGAGGAGCAAGAGAAGAGTGCTAACAGGGCCTTTGGGAAAGCAGGGTAAAATCTGGTTAGTTGAAAATCTGCATCTGCCATGAAGAATCCATTCCAGAAAAGAAAGACAGAAGGGCTTTGCTGCCAGTTTTTTTTTTTCTTTTTTGCATGCTACAGCTGTGTACTGGGCTAAGTCTTTTTTACATGGAACACAGTAGATAAGAGAAAAAACTCAACATTGGGTCCTTTGAGAGAGTTACTAGCATAAATTGACAGCTTGCTGGCTTAAATACCACACTATTCACCTATTTAATGTTCATGATTGGTTGATTTTGAGTAGTTTCACAGTGTTCTTCAGCCATCAATCCCCACAGTATATTTTGGAACATATTCATCACCTCCAAATCTACAGCTTTTAATTGAACTTACTTTAAAATGTAAAGCCATTGTAGGGAAAAGATGGACCAAGTTAGGAATTAAGGGGATTAATCAGAAAGCTCTGAGACATTTTGTCCCTTTAAATATATTCTAACATTCTAGAATGTATTTTGGTAGTATTTAAATTAAGTTGCTATAATAAAGTGGTATATTTTAATGGGAAATTCTTGGCTTAGATCTAGATCACAAAGTAAACTTAATGAAAAAGTGTACTACTATCCCTTTAATCTAACTGTAGTAGTACCTAAAGAAAAAATAAACAGCATTTTTAAGCATGTATTATCATGGTGATAGCAAACATATATATTTTTCTTTTAACATGAACTATCAAGTGAGTACTCTTCTATGAAAAATAAGATAGTAGCTCTTACTAAGTTATTAAATCAGTTTACCGGAATTAACAATGTTCTATGGGCAGTCTTAAAGTTTGACTTATATTTTATTCATAGGAAAAATATGTTAGGAAATTTTCCTATCCTTCCTTTTTAAAAATAATGGCCATATTTCTCTTGTAGGTGTGTGAGCCTGTAAAACTAAACCTTTGAAGATGATCTGGTATATTTTAGTTGTAGGGATTCTACTTTCCCAGTCTTTGGCCCATCCAGGCTTTTTTACTTCTATTGGTAAGTCTTAATTATTTTGTTATTGTTTTTGTATTTAAAATTTTCCTTTTTCTCATGCTTTTAAATGGATAAAAACAAATACATTGTATTCACAGGGACTGATACATTACTTCGGTTCCTACCCCTCTAAAAGTCTTTCTTTTAAAGTCATTTTTTTCCTTCATATTTAAATATTTAATTTTTTCTGATTGCCAAAACTTAGTAAAGCATACAAAAGAAAATTCTCTGGTAGAGTCTACCTGGCAAATCACTTAATGTATGTACTTAGTCTTTTGTATTTTCCTATATGCGTACTCTATGTTTTAAAAGAGGTGTTTTCCTACATCCTGTTGACGAGTTTTACCCTTATGTGATTGTGGAGCTAAATAAAACACAAGCAAGTATGTTTATGACACTTGATTTTGGGATGTAAAATGGTGAGTTTTCTCATCCTATTGGGGCTTCCCTAGTGGGAGGAGCCTGGTGGGCTGCCGTCTATAGGGCCGCACAGAGTCGGACACAATTGAAATGACTTGGCAGCATCAGTGGCTCAGACAGTAAAGGATCTGCCTGAAATGCAGACCTGGGTCGATCCCTGAGTCAGGAAGATCCCCTGGAGAAGGGAATGGCTACCCACTCCAGTGTTCTTGCTTGGAGAATCCCATGGACAGAGAAACCTGGTGGGCTACAGTCCATGTGGTTGCAAAGAGACACAATTGTGCAACTTTTTTCTCTCATCCCATTAGGAATAACTAAATATGGATATTTGAATTTCAGTTGTGAAGTATACTTTTTGTTAGTGTGGTCTTTGTCAAATTCAATAAAAATTTAATTCTTAGTACTCTCAAAACCCAAAAAAGATGAGGGGGGAGGTAGGGAAGAAGAAACGTTGATCTTTGGAAAGTAATGTTTTGAAATTAAAAAATAAATTCTTCGATGAAAAGACAATTTGTCGATGTGGTCCAAACTTGCAGAATTAAGTAACTTGAAAATTAGAATTGGACCACATGCTTAGAAAAGTTTGGGGCTTAATTTTTATTTATTTGGTTTTAAAAAGAAAAAAAAAATGGTGCTCTCTCCAACATATCTGGTTCATGCCAGTTAAGTCCGTTCATTAAATGAAGCATTCTCAATCATTCTTAAATTATTCTAGAAAACTTGTTTTGACAGTATGGGTATTTGATAACTTTCTTCTCTTTTCCTCCTTCTAGGTCAGATGACTGATTTGATTCGTACTGAAAAAGATCTGGTGACTTCCCTGAAAGACTATATAAAGGCAGAAGAGGACAAATTAGAACAAATAAAAAAGTAAGTCAAGTGTTTTACTTATTATGACTGACTCCACCTGGATGTTTTCTTCCTGGTTAAAACATTCTTTAAGTGAAAATGAAAGCCCTCTGTCAGTCTTAGAAGGCCAGATGAGGGCTAAAATAGGACCACAGAAAACAAAAGTTAGGCCCAATTAAAGACTTCACGTGGAAGAATATGGATTGAGATAAGAGTGTAAATGGATACAGGTAATTGACTGACAGTTTTTTTTTTTAATAGTTGCTAATATCTCTATCCTCCCTAATCAAGCAATTTTCCACTGCTATTTATCCTTTAGTTTTATGGTTGCATTCTAGAGATTACAGTGGTAAGTGTAGTATTATTTAATTGATATGGTTTTTCTTCAAATGCTAATTTATCTTTAATTGACTCAGGTTCATAGTTAATCCTGACCTGAGAGTTCCTAGCCTTTGTTTAATGAGTAGCCAAGTACTCAGGTTTTTTTTTTAAGATTTATTTATTTATTTTTGGCTGTGCCGGGTCTTCATTGCTTCACTCAGGCTGTCTCTAGTTGCACTGCACGGGCTTCTCTTGTGTACCTGGGCTCTAGGTGCATGGGCTTCAGTAGTTGTGCATGGGCTTAGTTGCCATTCGGCATGTGGGATCTTCCTGGTGTAGGGATCGAACCTGTGTCCCCTGCATTGGCAGGCAGATTCTCAACCACTGGACTATCAGGAAAGCCCCAGTTTTTCTGTTTTAAAATATAGTTTCTAAGTACTGAGTACAAAATTTTTCTATAAGTGTGATTTAAATGAATATGTAAGTGAATTTGGATTGGGCTGATTTGTACTTTGTAATAATCAATTGCTTGAACTTGTAGGGAAATAAATTTTTAGATTCTTACAGAGGGGTCCAATCAACTTTTACTAAGATATGTTACATTTACTATAACCATTTGGGAGAAACAACAAACTAAAAAAGTCTTACATTTTAATTTTGCCAAATTAGATTTTATCTGTAAAGAATCTTGCTTTTTAAAAATAGGCAAAACACTCTCCGACATAAATCACAGTAAGGTCCTCTATGACCCACCTCCCAGAATATTGGAAATAAAAGCAAAAATAAACAAATGAGACCTAGTGAAACTTAAAAGCTTTTGCACAACAAAGGAAACTATAAGCAAGGTGAAAAGACAGCCTTCAGAATGGGAGAAAATAATAGCAAATGAAGAAACAGACAAAGGATTAATCTCAAAAATATACAAGCAACTCTTGCAGATCAATTCCAGAAAAATAAATGACCCAGTCAAAAAATGGGCCAAAGATCTAAACAGACATTTCTCCAAAGAAGACATACAGATGGCTAACAAACACATGAAAAGATGCTCAACATCACTCATTATCAGAGAAATGCAAATCCAAACCACAATGAAGTACCATTACACACCAGTCAGGATGGCTGCTATCCAAAAGTCTACAAGCAATAAATGCTGGAGAGGGTGTGGAGAAAAGGGAATCCTCTTACACTGTTGGTGGGAATGCAAACTAGTACAGCTGCTATGGAGAACAGTGTGGAGATTCCTTAAAAAACTGGAAATAGAACTGCCATATGACCCAGCAATCCCACTCCTGGGCATACACACCGAGGAAACCAGATCTGAAAGAGACACGTGTACCCCAATGTTTATTGCAGCACTGTTTATAATAGCCAGGACATGGAAGCAACCTAGATGCCCATCAGCAGACGAATGGATAAGGAAGCTGTGGTACATATACACTATGGAATATCACTCAGCCATTAGAAAGAATTCATTTGAATCAGTTCTAATGAGATGGATGAAACTGGAGCCCATTATACAGAGTGAAGTAAGCCAGAAAGATAAAAACCAATACAGTATACTAACGCATATATATGGAATTTAAAAAGATGGTAACGATAACCCAATATGCAAAACAGAAAAAGAGACACAGATGTACAGAACAGACTTTTAGACTCTGTGGGAGAAGGCGAGGGTGGGATGTTCTGAGAGAACAGCATTGAAACAAGTATACTATCAAGGGTGAAACAGATCACCAGCCCAGGTTGGATGCACGAGAGGGGTGCTCAGGGCTGGTGCACTGGGAAGACCCAGAGGGATGGGATGGAGAGGGAGGCGGGAGGGGGGATCGGGATGGGGAACACATGTAAATCCAAGGCTGATTCATTTTAATGTGTGGCAAAAACCACTACAATATTGTAAAGTAATTAGCCTCCAACTAATAAAAATAAATGGAAAAAAAATCTTTATAATTTTGCTTAAAAAAAAATTTAGATATAGTTTTAACTCAAAAACCTCCAATCTGTTTTGAGTGCTTTACTAAATTATGTTCTTCCTCATTAAGTGTGTATATACTTTATGTATATTCCATTTATGTCTTACATTTTAGATGGGCAGAGAAATTAGATCGGTTAACCAGCACAGCAACAAAAGACCCAGAAGGATTTGTTGGACACCCTGTAAATGCATTCAAATTAATGAAACGTCTGAACACTGAGTGGAGTGAGTTGGAGAATCTGGTCCTTAAGGATATGTCAGATGGTAAGTCAGATGGTAAAACTAACGAGCCAAAAAAAAAAGCATTTTTGGTACAACCTGTAGAAATGCCAAAATAAGTGATAAATTCAGTTCCCAGAACATCAGGTGTTCAGTCTTATAACTGAATTATTGCTGAAATGTGTTTGATTTGACTAGGGTTAATTTAGCCTAGATCCTGAATTCTTGATTTAAAAAAAAAATGAGTAAAAACTGAAAACAAAGAGAAATAAAATTTTATTCTTAAAAAAGTAATTTCTACTCTTCATTTGCTTAACACTGGTCCTTTCTACTTTGAAATATATTAAAGTTAATCTATTATTGGCATATAGCTTCATTTCTGATGGTAATCATTTGCATTTAGGATTACCTTCAGATTTTAAAAATTTATGGCTAGTTCTTTCTCTTCTAATCAATTACTAATGTACTGGGAGTGGTACTGATAAGGGAAAACATTAGCTGTGTTTTACCTAGTCCTTTGAAGCTTAGGATTGTTTTGTTTAACATAAACTATAAATTTAAAACTGAGACTGCAAACAGTAGTAATGAATGTCCTTCTCAATGAAACAATAAAATTGTAGTTGGAGTAATGAGATGTTTTAGATATTTAAGTAACATATACAGAAAACTAAGTTTGAAGTTTAAGGAAGTAAAGGTATTATTATGCTTAGTACATAGTATTTATTTGTTGAACGATTGAAGATGGCAAAAAGAAGAAAAAAAAAAAAAAAAGAACTGAGTCAGCTGTGTAGGTGAAATACTCCAAGGGTGCTTTCAAGTGTTTGTGAGCAGTAAACCAAACTCTTATGCATAGGACAGGAAAACCTTGCTAAGAAAAATTAAGGCAAGCACTTATAAATATTTTGACATGAGAAGGAAATACCTGTGGTCATTTGCTCTCATATAACACCATGACAATATTTTTAAGGTCATATATATTCATATATATGTGCATTTGTATACATATATACATGTTTATTTATTATTTAAAAAAAACCTCAAGTAACGACCTGTATGACCTAAGTGTTTTTAAAATAAGATAAGCCTTAAGACTTTGGTATTTTAATCCATGGTAGTACCCCACAATGCCATAGTAGATATACATTTTCTCTTATTGGAGAGGATTTTAAGCAACTTCTAGGAGATTTTTTTTGAGGCATAAAAAACATTACAGTTTTCTGTAAAACTTGCTTGTAAAAATTGTGTTGATTTTGTGACTTAAAACTAAAGAATATGCTTAATATAAACTTAGACCTCTTCAGCTAGTTGTTTATTTATACATTTCAATTAACATAAAAATACCTGGCCTTTTGATGGTCAGAGTATGTGCATAGTTGATTATAAGTAAATGAGAATGGAGGGAAGTCTCATACCTAACTTTGATCTGCAGATGATGACACATATATTATTCACATTTTAAATCACTTTTTGTTTCTGTCGTATTGGTTTATTAAGGGAGTATTTAGCACCCATTTTCCTTAGGAGTTATGTGTATGTCCTTGTGCTTAGCTGCCCAGTTGTGTCCGACTCTTTACAACCCTTTGGACTGTAGCCTGCCAGGTTCCTCTGTTCATGGGATTTTTTTCCTTAATATATATATTTTATTGAATTATGGTTGATTTACAGTGTTTCAGGTACACAGCAAGGTGATTCATTTATATGTATGCATATATTATTTTTGAAATTATTTTCCATCATAGATTTTTACAAGATATTGACTATTGTTCCTTGTGTTATACAGTAAACCTTTGTTGTTTGTTGTATATCTGTATTTTTTTAATTAGAAATTTAGCGTTTTATTCATAGTAAGTAAAAAAAGTGTAATCAAAATGTCATACATTTTTTAATTAGGCAAAATTTCATAAGTTTTCTAAAATATATATATTATACATATATATGTATACAAAAACTTTACTACTATACTTGATAAAGCCTTGAGAATATGAAAAAAAAAAGAGACGGGGAAATTGGAAAACATAATCTAAGTGAAATGGGAGCACTGAATATAAAATAGAAAAAGTGAAACAAACTAAATAAAAGTAAAAGATCATCATGTAGTTCCATGGAATGTTTTTTAGGCAAGAATACTGGAGGAGTTGCCATTTTCCTCCTCCAGGGGATCTTGCTGATCAGGGATCAAATCTCCTGTGTCTCCTCCTTTGAAGGCAAATTCTTAACCTGCTGAGCCATCAGGGGAGCCCTAGGAGTTACATAGTTATCAGTAATTAGTTTCTGAATTTGATTTTTGCTATATTTTATGTAAAACATTTTAAAATTAATATTAGGATTTATGTAGACCAAACCTTGATTGATGAACACTATATTTAATAAATGAGCTTAAAGAATTCCACCAAACTATGTATTTACACATTTATGTGATATGTGGCACATGGAAGAAGAAAATAGAACTTTAAGAGTGTACATTTTATCTGAAAATCTAATTTGTTGCCAGTGAATATGGTTTTCAAGTCTTTACATCTGTTTGCTTGTCAAGCTTCAAGCTTAGCAGAGGCTATACTGTGTAACTAAAACCTATTCATATAGATATAATTTATGCAGTGACCTCAGATTACATAAAGTGAAGTTGCTCAGTTGTGTCTGACTCTGCAATCCCATGGGACTGTAGTCTACCAGGCTCCTCTGTCCATGGGATTTTCCAGGAAAGAGTATTGGAGTGGGTTGCCATTTCCTTCTCCAGGGATCTTCCTGACCCAGGGGTCGAACCCAGGTCTCCTGCATTGCAGGCAGACGCTTTACCCTCTGAGCCACCAGGGAAGCCCTGTTACCAGATTAACATAAGCAACATTAAAAATGGTCTGGGAAGATTTAACAAGTTAGAGGTATATGAAGTCTCATTCAGTGTATTTAATTTTTTCTTGTTACACATGATATAGTGGAAAATTATAATAATATAGATTAAAAAATCTTTATAAGACTTATGTTGGAAATTAAAAGTCTGTGAGGGTCTAGAGTTTTTTTTCTTCCTATTTTGTTGAGATATAATTGACATATGGTACTATAGAAGTTTAAAGTGTACAGTACAATGATTTCACTTACACACATTATGGAATGATTATCACAGTTAATTAGTGAACATTCATCATCCCATGTAGTTACGAAATTTAAAAAATAGAAAAAAATGTTTTTCCTTGTAATGAGAACTCTAAGGATGTACTTTTTTTATGTAGCAGTGTTAATTATATTTATCATGTTGTACATTACATCCTCTGTACTTATTTATCTTATACCTGAAACTTTGTGCCTTTTGCCTGCCTTCCTCCAAATCCCCTATACCCCTACCACCTGCCTCTGATAACCACAATCCTGATCTCTTTTTGTATGAGTTTTATTTTGAAATATAACTGACCTACAACACTGTGTTAGTTCCTGTTATACAACATATTAATCCTATATTTCTGTGTATTTCAAAATGATCACCATGAGAAAGAAGTCTAGGTATGAAATGTCATTACCGTACAAATATATTACATAGTTATCAACTATATTCCCTACATTGTACATTTCAAACTTGTGTCTAAATCTTTTTTTGCTCCTCTGTTTTAAGGTTTTATCTCTAACCTAACCATTCAGAGACAGTACTTCCCTAATGATGAAGATCAGGTTGGGGCAGCCAAAGCTCTGTTGCGTCTCCAGGACACCTACAATTTGGATACAGATACCATCTCAAAGGGTGATCTTCCAGGTAAGAATTCTTGTAGCCTATGAAAAAATCCATCTCCTGGCTTCTCTGTTCAGTCCATTAGGACACTATTAATATAAGGAGACTTCAGTTATTTCAAAAATTCTAACTTTAGTTTGTTTCATAGCCTTTGAGGTCAAAACAACGTTTTCTCTTGTTCTTAATAGTTGTAGATAAGCTGCTAGCTTGTTACTGTGAAAGCCTGTGTTTTAGGGACTAATTTAAGCAATTTTAGCATGAAAGACAAAGAAACTATTTTTCTAAATGTCTTTCTTTAGAATACCAAAGTTTGTATGTAAAGTTATAAGGCAATTGATAAAGTTAGTATGTTTAATAATTTAAAACCAAGGCATGTTGAGTGTGTGCTGATTTTTAGTGTTCTATAGTATGAAACATTCTGCTTTCTGACTTCTTTTACACAAACACTTTTTAAAATACTTTATTTTTGGCTGTTCTGGGTGTTTGTTGCTTCATGTGGGATTTCTGTAGTTGCAGAGAGTGTGAGCTGCTCTAGTTGCGGTATGCTAGCTTCTCATTGCAGTGGCTTCTCTTGTTGCAGAGCACAGGCTCTAGAGCACTCAGGCTTGAGCAGTTATGGAGAATGGAATGAGTAGTTGCGGCTTTCGGGCTCTAGAGTGTGGGCTCAGTATTTGGCACACACTAGTTGCCTCACGGCATGTGGGATCCTCCTGGCCCAGGGATTAAACTGGTGTCCGTGCACTGCAAGGTGGAATGTCAACCACTGGACCACCAGGGAAGCCCCCAGACCCTCTTTTTTTAAGTTACAGCTGATTTCATGATAATCCGTTTACTTTTTTTTATTGTGAAAAGAACATAAAAACAAAATTTACCATGTAAACCAATTTTAAATGTGCAGTTTATGGCATTAGGTGCATTTGTATTTTTATGCAACCATTATTACCATCCACCTGCTTAGCTCTCTTCATCTCGTGAAACTGAAGCTCTGTACTCATTAAACAATAACTCTCCAACCCCCACTTTCCCAGCCCCAAGCAACTGTCATTCTACTTCTTGTCTCTGATTTTGACTACTCTGAGTACATCATGTAAGTAGAATCATACAGTGTTTGCCTTTTTGTGACTGGCTTATTTCACTTAAGATGATGTCCTTCAAGGGTCATCCATGTTGTTGTATATGTTGAAACTTCCTTCATTTTTAAGACTGAATAATATTCCATTGTATATATCCATATTTTGTTATGCATTCATCCATCAGTGGACACTTGGGCTCCTTCCACATGTCAGCTATTGTGAATAATGCTGCTGTGAACAAGGGTATGCAAATAGCTCTTCAAGACACTGCCTTTCATTCTTGAGTATATACCCAGGAGTGGAATTGCTGGATCAGATGGTATTAATTTTTGAGAAGACACCATACTCTTTTCCATAGTAGATAAAGCATTACATTCCCACCAACAGTGCAAAAGGGTTCCAGTTTCTCTAGACTGTTGCCTACACTGGTTATTTTCTTTTTTTAAGTTAATTTATTTGTTTACACAAATTTCATATATACAGAGAAGTATAGAGAATAACATTCATGAACCTGCCACCTAGCATGCATATTAATATTGTACCTTATTTGCCACATAATTATGTATTTATTTATTTATGTTTAATTGGAGGATAATTACTTTACAGTTGAAGAAGGAAATGGCAACCCACTCCAATATTCTTGCCTGGAGAACCCCCATGAACAGAGGGGTCTGATGGGCTACAGTCCATGGGGTCTCAAAGGGTCGAACATGACTGAGCGACTTAAGCACAATTACTTTACAACACTGTGATGGTTTTTGCCGTACATCAGCATGAATTGGCCATAGGTACACATGTCCCCTCCCTTTTGATACTCCCTCACTCCTCCCTTCCACCCCATGCATCTAGGTTTTCACGGAGCACTGGCTTTGGGTCCCCTGCATCAAATATCAAACTCCCACTGACTGTCTATTTTACATATGGAAATGTATATGTTTCAATGCTATTCTCTCAAATCATCCCACCCTCTCCTTCCCCCACTGTGTCCAAAAGTCTGTTCTTTGTGTCTGTGTCTCCTCAGATGCCCTGCACATAGGATCATTGGTACTAACTTTCTAGATTCCATATGTATGTGTTAATGTACAATATTTGTCTTTCTCTTATGTACTTCACTCTGTATAATACGCTCTGTTTATTTATCTCATTAGAACTGACTCAAATGCATTCCTTTTTATAGCTAAGGAATATTCCATTGTGTATATGTACCAGTTTCCTTATCCATTCACCTGTCTATGGACATATGGGTTGCTTCCACATGCAGTTCAGTCGCTCAGTCATGTCTGACTCTTTGCAACGCTATGGATTGCAGCACGCGAAGCTTCCCTGTTCATCACCAACTCCTGGAGCTTGCTCAAATTCATGTCTATTGAGTGGTTGATGCTATCCAACCATCTCATCCTTTGTTGTCCCCTTCTCCTCCCACCTTCAATCTTTCCCAACATCAGGGTCTTTTTCAATGAGTCAGCTCTTTGTGTCAGGTTGCCAAAGTATTGGAGTTTCAGCTTCAGCATCAGTCCTTCCAATGAATATTCAGGATTGATTTCCTTTAGGATTGACTGGTTTGATCTCCTTGCAGTCCAAGGGACTCACCAGAGTCTTCTCCAATACCACAGTTCAAAAGCATCAATTCTTCAACATTCAACTTTCTTTATAGTCCCAACTCTAACATCCATACATGACTATTGGAAAAATCATAGCTTTGACTAAATGGACCTTTGTCGGCAAAGTAATGTCTCTGCTTTTTAATATGGTGTCTAATTTGGTCATAGCTTTTCTTCCAGGGAGCAAGCGTCTTTTAATTTCAGGGCTGCAGTCACCATCTGCAGTGATTTTGGAGCCCCCCAAAATAAAGTCTGCCACTGTTTCCACTGTCTCCCCATCTATTTGCCATGAAGTGATGGAACCAGATGCCATGATCTTCGTTTTTTGAATGTTGAGTTTCAAACCAACATTTTCACTCTGCTCTTTCACTTTCAAGAGGCTCTTTAGTTCTTCTTCGCTTTCTGTCATAAGGGTGGTGTCATCTGCATATCTGAGGTTATTGTTATTTCTCCCGGCAATCTTGATTCCAGCTGGTGCTTCATCCAGCTTGGCATTTCGCATGATATACTCTGCGTATAAGTTAAATAAGCAGGGTGGACAATAAACAGCTTTGACGTACTCCTTTCCCGACTTGGAACCAGTCCGTTGTTCGATGTCCGGTTTTAACTGTTGCTTCTTGACCTGTGTAAGATTTCTCAGGAGGCAGGTCAGGTGGTCTGGTGTTTCCGTATTTCCACAGTATGTTGTGATCCACACAGTCAAAGGCTTTGGCATAGTCAATAAAGCAGAAGTAAATGTTTTTCTGGATCTTTCTTGCCTTTTTGATGATCCAACAGATGTTTGCAATTTGATCTCTGGTTCCTCTGCCTTTTCTAAAACCAGCTTGAACATATGGAAGTTCACGGTTCACGTACTGTTGAAGCCTGGCTTGGAGAATTTTGAGCATTACTTTGCTAGTGTGTGAGATGAGTGCAATTGTGTGGTAGTTTGAGCATTCTTTGGCATTGCCTTTCTTTGCAATTGGAATGAAAACTGACCTTTTTCAATCCTGTGGCCACTGCTGAGTTTTCCAAATTTGCTGGCATATTGAGTGCAGCACTTTCACAGCATCATCTTTTAGGATTTGAAATAGCTCAACTGTGATTCCATCACCTCCACTAGCTTTGTTCATAGTGATGCTTCGTAAGGCCCACTTGACTTCATGTTCCAACATGTCTGGCTCTAAGTGGGTGATCACACCATCGTGGTTATCTGGGTCATTAAGATCTATTTTTGTATAGTTCTTCTGTGTATTCTTGCCACCTCTTCTTAATATCTTCTGTTTCTGTTAGGTCCATACCATTTCTGTCCTTTATTGAGCCCATCTTTGCATGAAATGTTCCCTTGGTCTCTAATTTTCTTGTAGAGATCTCTAGTCTTTCCCATTATATTGTTTTCCTCTTTCTCTGCATTAATCACTGAGGAAGTGTTTCTTATCTCTCCTTGCTCTTCCTTGGAACTTTGCGTTCAGATAGGTATATCTTTCCTTTTCTCCTTTGCCTTTTGCTTCTCTTCTTTTCTCAGCTATTTGTAAGACCTCCTCAGACAACCATTTTGCCTTTTTGTATTTCTTTTTCTTGGGGATGGTCTTGATCACTGCCTCCTGTACAATGTCACAAACCTCCGTTCATAGTTCTTAAGGCACTCTGTCTATTAGATCTAATCCCTTGAATCTATTTGTCACTTCCACTGCATAATTGTAAGGGATTTGATATAAGTCATACCTGAATGGCCTAGTGGTTTCCCCTACTTTCTTCAATTTAAGTCTGAATTTGGCAATAAGGAGTTCATGGTCTGAGCCACAGTCAGCTCGTGGTCTTGTTTTTCTGACTGTATAGAGTTTCTCCATCTTTGGCTGTAAAGAATATAATCAGTCTGATTTCAGTATTGACCATCTGGTGATGTCCATGTGTAGAGTTGTCTGGTGGTGTTGGAAGAGGGTGTTTGCTATGACCAGGGTGTTCTGTTGGCAAAACCCTGTTAGCCTTTGCCCTGCTTCTTTTTGGATTCCCAAGGCCAAATTTGCCTGTTACTCCAGGTATCTCTCGACTTCCTACTTTTGCATTCCAGTCCCCTATGATGCAAAGGACATCTTTTTTTGGTGTTAGTTCTAGAAGTTCTTTTAGGTCTTCATAGAACCGTTCAGCTTCTTCAGCATTACTGGTCGGGGAATAGACTTGGATTATTGTGATATTGAATAGTTTGCCTTGGAAACAAATGGAGATCATTCTGTCGTTTTTGAGATTGTACCCAAGTACTGCATTTTGGACTCTCTTGTTGACTATGATGGCTACTCCATTTCTTCTAAGGGATTCTTGCTCACAATAGTAGATATAATGGTCTTCTGAGTTAAATTCACCCATTCCAGTC